TGACCTGAGCCGAAGGCAGTCGCTTAACCAACTGAGCCACCCAGGCGCCCTACACTGGTAAATTTAAGGTTGTGTATATAAAAATAAAACAAAACAAAATAAAATAAAGAAACAAGAAACAGGAAAAGGTAGCCACACACACACACACACACACACACACACACACACACACACAGCATAGCTAACAGTTCCTCTACCTGCCCAGGTGGGCTATAGGGTCACATCCTCCCCTGATCCTGCCAGGTGCCCTGCCCTAAGTGCCACTACTATAACACTTGCACCTCTCTGACCTAGAGCTGGGGACAGGAAGGGGAGGACCAGCTCTGGTCTCTATCCCAGGGCTTAGCCCAGCACCTGGTACCAGCAGATGTTAGGTGAATATTTGCTGAACAAGTTGAAAACCACGTTGTGAGGTTAGGCTGGTACCATTATCCCCATTTTACAGACAGGCTAACGGAGGCTCAGCAAGGCCTCCACCTTTCCGAAAGGTGACCTTTCTAAAACCACAAAGCCAGCAGGTGGTAAAAGGAGAGGTGGCCCCGATATCCCAGACTCCTGTTAGATGGCCCTTTTATCATTCCATCTCCCTTCAGAATCAACTTGGCACCCATTTCAACAGGAATTTCTAAATAATAATTCTCGCCCTATACTAGTGACTCTTACCTTTTTTGGATCATGGGCCCATTTGGCAATCCAACAGAGTCCTCTTCCCAAAGCAACACACATATGAGACTTAGATAATGGTTTCCCGAGGGTTCCTGGACCCCCTGAAGCCCATCCATCGACCTCATTAAGAACCTCCTTTCCACCCTGCTATCTGGGGGCTCATTTATCCTCAGGATTTTAGAGCCATCTCTATCTATATTCTTGAGCATCAGAGTCAAGGAAAGATGCTATTTTAAATTCACACTCCCAGGCCCATCTCCTGTGGATCTGGTTAAGGAGATGCAGGGCTGTGTCCGGAAATCTACAGGAGGTACACCGGGGGATTCTGGGATTGGTAGATCTGAGACACTTGTGGGTCCAGGAGCTGCTGCCTCCCAGGCCTCTGAATGCTGTCCAGATGATCCCCTGACCTCCCAGCCTCTCTCCCCAGCTGCCCACAAAACCTGGCAAATAGACATCCCAGCACAACCCAACAGGGACTTCCTGAGCCCAACATCTGTGACCCCAGAAGTTCTCCTTTGCTGGGATCACTAGGCCAGAAACCTGGGCATTACCCTTGACTGTCCCTGTCCCCACCCCACATCTCGACCATCACCAAGGCCAGCAGATTCTATCCTCTATGTGCCTCTGGGCACCCCCACTTCCGTCTAGCACCCAGCCCTGCCGGCACCGTGGTCCAAGCTCCCAGCTTCTCCTCCTTGCTTCCATCTGCCTCCACCATCCATTCTCTGTCCTGCAACTCTGATCCTGTCATTGCCCTGCACAAAGCTCTACAGTGGTGACCAAACTCTAGAACTGCACTGTCCAATATGGTAGCCGCATGTGGCTATTTAATTTAATATCCGAACTTCTGCCCAAAGTTCACGCTAGTCACGTATCAACTGCTCAAGAGCACATGTGGCTGGTGGCTACCATATTGGATAGTGCAGATATATAGCACATTTCCATCCTCACAGAAAGTTCTAGTGGACAGCAGAGCTCTACAACTTCGCTTAGGAGCCCTTCAGGGTCTGGCCCCAGCCTTTGCTCAGACCACTCCCCAGCATCCCTGGTCTTGAGCCACCGTGAACCACTCTCAACTCCCTAAAGTCATGCTCTCACCTCTAACCCTTTGCACGTCATACCCTTCCTGCCTTCCTTGCTTGGCTAACTCCTACCCATTCTTGGGGTCTCAGCTGTCACCTCTCCCCTAAGCAGGACAAGTACCCAAGGTTTTGCCAATCACAGCATTTAAAACACTGAGCCGAAACAGTCATGGGCATCCCTACACCCATTACCCCCATACCAACAATTTTCAGCTAGGAACAAGTTTGCAACCCCCCGTCCAGGGGACAACTGATAGAGTCTGGATTCATTACTGGTGAGGTGCTCCTGGCATCTGGTGAGTAGAGGCCAGGAACATGCTAACATCTTACAATGCACAGGACAACCCCTGCAGCAAAGAATCATTTGGCCCCAAATGTCAGCAGTGTTGAGGTTGACCGTCCGTGCTCTAGGCTGGACAACTCCATAAAGGAAGGGGGTGGGTCCCGTATAGTGTGTATCCCCAGCCACCAGCCCAGAGTTGGGCATATAATGAGTCCAGATGTTCTGTAAGATTTTTCCCCAGGATTCCAGCTCTCTTACAGCATCTTACAATGACAATCAGTCATTGGTCATTATGGCAGGCTGAATAACGGCCCCCCCAAATATCCAAGTCCTAATCCCTGGAACCTGTGAATGTCACTTTATGTGGCAAAAGGGACTCTGCATATTCAATTAAGTAAAGGATCTTGAGACAGGGTGATTATCCCGGATTATCCTGACGGGCCCTAAATGCACTCACAAGCAACCCTAGCAGAGGAAGGCAGAGGGACATTGCCAGAGAAAAGGCAACATGAAGATGGGTCAGAGAGATTCGAAGATGCTACAACGCTGGCCTTGAAGATGGGGGAAGGGGTCCCAGGCGGCATCCACCAGAAGCTGGGAAAGGCAAGGGTCAGATCTTCCCCTACAGCCTTGAGCAGGGTCCAGGCCCAGTGAAACCGATTTTGGACTTCTGGCCTCCAGAATTGTGTGTTCTGTATGGACAGATGTTTCTGTGATTTATCCCGCATAACCGACCACCTGGACCTGCACGTACACAGGCTAAGGAACATTGTTCATGAGACTCGTGCTGCCTGAATGATCTCGGAAGCCTGGTTGTTTGAAATATACTATCTGGCCTCCAGGTCAGAACCGGCCCTTCTGGGGCGCCTGAGTGGCTCAGGTGGTTAAGCGTCTGCCTTCGGCTCAGGTCGTGATCCCAGGGTCCTGGGATCGAGTCCCACGTCAGGCTCCCTGCTCAGTGGGAGCCTGCTTCTCCCTCTCCTCCTGGCTTACACTCTCTCTCGCTAGCTCTGTCACTATCTGTCTCTCTCAAATAAATAAATAAAATCTAAAAAAAAAAAAAAAAAAAAGAACCGGCCCTTCTGTTCTGGGCTCCAAGGGCTATGAATCTTGTCACACATCCCCTCCTGCTGCAGGCTGGGCTGGCCCCCCGGGATGGAATCCAGAATCCGGGAGGGGAGGCAGACACACATAGCCCAGGCTTCTTGAAAATATAGAAACATGATAACATGGAAATGCAGCTTACTCCAAACTGCACGTAGGCGAACGAATGTTTAATTTCAAACCCTGTCATTTGCCCTATAAATACGGCCCTTATGGGGATGGTTGGCTGGAAGGCTCAAGCGAGGGGAGGACGCTCTGCCCAGGCCTCTCACCTGGGACTCCAGCCCGGCTGTCTCCATGGGACTTCGCCCAGCTGATGAGGCTGGATGCTGTAAGTACCTGATTTGATGTAACTTTGCCTTATTCTCATTTATTGCCTACTATTACCTTCATCTATGTGTAGATTCCTTTCCTCTCCTGTCTCTATTAGGTTTCTATAATAACAATAAAGTTGTCTTTCCTTCTTGAAACCCAGACATGACTGTTTCATGAATCTCTTGCTCAGAACTGTGAGAGAATAAATTTCTTGTGTTTCTAGGCTGAGTTTAGAGTCATGTTACAATACAACGTTACAATTTGTTACAAGCCCTAGGACACTCATACGGTCATATTCCAATCTGGGGTTTATTGGATTTGGATCAGAGAATTGGAAAGGAATGGCATTTAGGAGCTAGGCCCCCACCCTGCTGGCTCCGAGGGTGGGAAGGAGAGATGGTAAGAGTGCCTGAGACTTGTGTTTCTAGATGGGTAGCTGCCCAGGTCATCAGCAACAGCGTCCATAGGTCATTCCTCACACCCTAGTCCTGCCACCTTCTGGGATGTGCAAGGTGTCTGCTAGGCAAGGGACTCAGCCCAGGACACTATGTCTGTCTGGCGCTGAAGCAAGGATTAGAATAAAAACTGAAGTCCTTGTCTAGCTCTCCAGCCTCCCTGCCAGCCCCTCTCCCTCCCCCCCACTACCCTCCAGACACAGGGGCCTTTCTCTGACCTTCCAACACAGCCTTGGGGCCTTTGCACCTGCTATTCTTCTGCTTGAAACACTCTTCCTCCTGAGTCTCCCATGGCTGGCTGCTTCTCATCATTCAGGTCTCAGTGCAAATGCCACCTCCTCGGAGAGGCCCTCCCTGGCTGCACTCAGGGCCAGCGGCCTTCACATCACCTTTTGTCACCAGCCGCTGATTTTTCCTCCCAAATCTTCTCACACTGTGTAACTATCTCATTACCATCTTTGTTTGCCTGTTCACGGTTAGTCCCCTGCAGCCCAGACTGCGGGCCCCAGGAGGGCAGGGACCTTGTCTGATCTGCCCAGGGTATTTCCCTAGCCCCATGCCTGGCATGCACTAGGTGCTCAACACATACTGAATGAATGAATGAATAAGTGGGTGAGTGAATATGCAGCTTTGGACGATGCTTGTTAAACGCCAGGTCCTAACATACCTGATCTTGGCTTTCCGAAAGGCCAGCTCCTCTTCATTACCAAAGTCCAGGGACACATCCTCAGTATCGTCCACCAGGGCCTGGGGGACACCAAACACGGGTGGCAGGCGGTGCGCATCCCCACCCCCACCCCCTCTGCTGGCAGGGCCCCTCCCCCACGGCTGCAGTCCGAGGCCTCCCGGTCATTTGGTGTGCGGCCCAGGCCCCAGCGCGAGCATCCTTCCTCCTCTCCCTCCCCTCCTCCTGCTCCAAACCGCCCCCCCACCACCCCGCCCGGAGCTCCCGCAGGCTCCTCCCGTCCTCTCCCCCATCCTCCTGTCCCCAGCATCCCCGTGGCCCTACCTGCTTCATCCTCCCCAGATAGCACCTGGAGCCCACAGCCCAAGCTCCGGCTCTGGCTCCGCCTCTAGCCGATGCGCCAGGACGCCGGGGGAATGGGGAGCGGCGGGGTCCGAGCTGGCGCCCCGCGGTGCAGGTCTCGGTGGGGGCGGGGCGCGCGGGGCCCAGAGCGCAGCCGCGGGCTGGGGAGGTGGGCTCGGCCGCCCGCGTGGGAGCGGGGCTTGGGAGGGTCCCGGGCCGAGGGCTCGCTGGGGACCTCGGCGAGAGCTGCCGCCCAGAGTGGAGGGATGGAGGGCGAAGCCGGAGCGGCAGCACGGAAGGGACGATTCGGGCTCAGAGGCGCACTCGGGGCCTGGGAACACAGATAGGGGAGGAACGGGGGTGGGGTGGGACAGTGAATGAGTTGGATGTCCCATAGTTGTCCGATGGCTGAGCGAACGAATGAATGAATGTCAAGTGTTGGGCAGCCTCATTTAGGGTTGGGAGAAAGCCAGTGTTTCCCAAAAGTCTCTGATCCCAAGAATTCCCCCGGGCCCTTCTTAAAAGCAGATTCCCAGCCCCAGCCCTGGAGATTGGGAAGGCCTGGAGTGCAGGCCGTGGAATCTGCCTTTTAACAGGTGAATCTGCTGACCGCAGTGAGATTTTCCCTCCTCCGCGCGCCAGACTTGGTAGTGATTCTGGATGGTAAGGCCTCCCCAGGTCTCTCTCAGGAAAGCAGGCTTGCCACCCGCAAGTCTTGTTTGGCCCAGGACAAGGTCGCTACCCTCCTTTCTGCCCTCTCCCATTCCTGACCCCCCAGCCAGGAGCAGAGGGCTGAGAGTCTAGATGCCAGGGCCCCTAGTCCTGCCTTTGCCCTCCTGTCACGGGCAGGAGGGGTCTGTCCCCCATCCCCTGGTGACCTGGAAAAAGGCCGCAGGTCCACAAGCTCCTGACACCAACTCATTCACTGCTGGCCCCCTGAAGGGATGAGCGGCCTGGGGTGTGCCCAGGGGTTGGAGTAGGAAACAGAGCTGCCTGGAGCTGCTTAAGCTCTGATCCCTGGGTGAGCACCCCCTCCCTTCCCCCAGTCGACCCCACAAAGAGCCTGGCAGGTGTGTGTGCAGGGAGGGTGCTTTCTCCAGGGGACAGAATGCCATCTTGAAGGGTCAGCTGGTCTGGGCCTGCCTGCGAAGCATCACTCTAACCAGCTCCCAGGTGATGCTGATGTTGCAGGCCTCTGAGCCTCCCCTTGAACCATTAAGGATCTACACTAGCAAACCCCAGGTTTCTAGAAAGGCCTGTTGTCTCTTCCAGCCCAAAGCTGGCTCCAGGCACAGGCGAGTGTCGCACTAAAAGGCTGGGGGACCCTAAGCTTCCCCTACCCCGCTAGTCCCCAGCTGCCTAGGATGCTCAGGAGACGCCAGGTGGAGGTGAGAAGCCGTTGCAAAACATTTAGGGGCTTTTCCTCTAACCTGGAGAATCACCAGCTGTTGCTAGCTGTTAAATTGGGGCTCAGAGAGTCCCCAGGGGGTGAGAAGGCAGGAAAACCCCCTTGGAAACCCCATTTGGGGACAAACTGTCATTCTTGGCCATCAGGTTGGGGGTGTCTCGAGAATTAGCCATGGCCCTACCATGCGGAAGTCACCCCACAAACACAAGGTCATGCCATTCTCCTCCTTCCTGACCACATCGGGGCATGGGCTGAGGATGCAGATGCCAGGGCCAGACCTGGGGCCTAGGCATTCCCTCCCCAGGAGACTGCGCTCTCCCTGGACACACACCCTGTTGGCCCTCTGCAGAGTCAGCCAGTAGAATTTGGGGGATGGGCAGAGAACTGGCTTTGAAATCAGCTGCTGGTTAAAAGGTAGATTCCAGGGCCCCACTACAGGCCTAATGAATCACCAAAGCCAGGGCCTGGGAATCTGCATTTAACATGTGCTCTGGGGAATTCCTGAGAGCAGAGACTTTGGGGAAACACTGACTTTGTCCCCTCACACTGCTACCACTGAATATGGCCGCTGGGATCCTGACGCTAGTCACCTTCTGCTGGTCCTGGCTCAGGAGGAGATTGGGGAGCAGAGTTTCAAAGAGCAGGCCCATCTCTGATCCCTGGTCCTGGGGCCAGAACGAACCTCAGGGAAAGGTGGCTCCCGGCTCAGGCAGCCACCGGCCTCTGGATGGCCCTTGGAGGTCAACATGCAGAGTTGGGCAGGCCCAGATGGGAACATGCTCCACCACTTCCTGTCTGGATGGCCTCTCCGGCCTCAGTCTCCACATCTGTACAATGGGACCACAGCTCCCCTCTCCCCCATCATCAGGAAGGATGCAAGACCTGGAGAAAACACATGGAAAACGCCCTCCCCAGAGCTGGGGGCTCGGGAGACAGCAGCTCTCGTGACGGGGACTTCAGTCATCGGCAGAGGGCCTGGGGTCTGAGGAAAGCCTGTGGCCTGGCAGCGCACAGAACACGAGGCCCGTATCTGAGTCACTCCTTCCCCCAAGAAGCGTCTGTCTTAATGGGGGAACAGAAACTTCGTATCCAGCTTGGCCATTTCCCAAACACCTCCTGTGGGCCCAACTCTGTGTCCCCGGGACAAGTGACAGGTGGGACAGAGGACCCAGTGTGGCCCTTTCCCCGACATGGGACCCCAGGAGCCCTGGTGCAGAAAGCAGCGGTTTGGGTGGGAATGGACATGGATGAAGGCTGGAGTTGGGAGCACAACCAGGGAGGGTGGGGACAGGGTGGGGGCCGGCCTGGCTGGACTTTGGCCATCCTTATCCTGCGGGAGAATGACAGCTGAGACAGGGGGTGGGCGGGCTCCAGATCTGGGGCTGGAAGAGGCCCTGAGCTGCACTGTCCCCGGCACGTCCGTCAGGGCAAACACTGAGGTCTCCGGGCCTGTCTGCCCCAGGCCTGCAGCTGTTCTTCACCCTCAGCCCTGCACCCCTGTGGGCGGCACTCCCTAAGATCCTGCCGCCCCTAAGATCTGCCCACCTGGCACCTGGCAATGGCCCTGTCTTTCCTCCACAAGCAGGGCTGAGGATCTCACAAGCAAAAATAAGGGAGCCCAGTGAAATGGAACTAGAGGGAAACAACAAATCATTTCTTTTTTTTTTTTTTTAAAGATTTTATTTATTTATTTGAGAGAGAGAGAATGAGAGAGAGCACATGAGAGTGGGGAGGGTCAGAGGGAGAAGCAGACTCCCTGCCGAGCAGGGAGCCCGATGCGGGACTCGATCCAGGGACTCCAGGATCATGACCTGAGCCGAAGGCAGTCGCTTAACCAACTGAGCCACCCAGGCGCCCCAACAAATCATTTCTTAGTGTAAGTATATCCCATGCACTATTTGGGACATACTTATGTTAAAAATTTATCAGTCGCTAACCTCAAATTCAAATTTACCCGGGGTCCTGTATTTCATCTGGCAACCCTATGCCTCCAGGCCAGGGTGCACCCAGGCTCACGGGGCCCCCCGTCCTCCTTGTTGAGGGCAGGTGGTGCCCGGGGTGAGGGTAGGACCCTGTGTCTAGACTCAGCACTGAGTAGGTGAATGGGCGAGTGAGTGAGTGAAGGACCATGGGAGTGTGCAGGGCAGCGAATCTCTCCCCATCTCACGGAGGTCCAGGTGCAGCTGACTCTGGGTAGAAATCCAGGGCTCACCCGGGGCACCACCTGCCCCCAACAAGGAGGACGGGGGAGGGAGTCCCCTGGGACAGCCCACAGGAGGGACCCACCTTCCTCCCTCTGCCCCGTGCTCTGCCTTCCTGGGCGCACTGCCCTGGCTGTCAGCATGGAGGACAGAGGCCAGGTCAGGTGGGAGGAGCCCTGTGAAGCGGGCGGAGCATCTGTGGGAGGCAGGAAGGTGAGAGGCACAGGGACAGGGGCCCAGGCGCCAGGGTGGGAGCTTTGGGCCCCGTGAGCCTGGGTGCACACCTGGCCTGGAGGCATAGGGTTGCCAGATGAAATACAGGACCCCAGGTAAATTTGAATTTGAGGTTAGCGACTGATAAATTTTTAGCATAAGTATGTCCCAAATAGTGCATGGGATATACTTACACAAAGAAATGATTTGTTGTTTCCCTCAAGTTCCATTTCACTGGGCTCCCTTATTTTTGCTTGTGAGATCCTCAGCCCTGCTTGAGGAGGAATGGCAGGGCCACTGCCAGGTGCCAGGTGGGCAGATCTTAGGGGCGACAGGATCTTAGGGAGTGCCACCCGCGGGAGTAATGGGTTGATCTGTGTCTAGTGCCTGCCATGGAGATCTGTGTGCTGGCTGTCCTTCCTGAAGCTGCCACTCCTTGTCCCCTCTGCACATTCTCTCCTTGCTGAGTCCTTCTTCTCTGAAGTCCTGGGAAGCTTCCATCTACGCCCGAAGCTTGCTTCCTACTCCGGTCGGCCCTTGTCTGGTAGGGGAAGCCTTTGCTTAGGCCAGCCGGGTGCTCCCCCGAGAGGGGACATTCCAGACCATGGGGCAAAAGGGACAGCCAAGCTTTGGTGTGACTGACTGGCCTCCCAAGGAACCTACCACCTGGCCAGGCCATGGAGGAGTCGGCACACAGGCCAGAGAAAGCCTCTTGTCACTCAAGGGCTGGGACAAGGACAGAGATGGCAGGTCCGCAACAAGGCTGGGCCTTCTCATCCAGAAGCTGGGCGAGTGGGCAGTGGCTCTTATCCATCTTACAGCTCTAGCTTCCTCTTGGAGCAGCAGGAACTTGCAAGTCCCTCCCCCCGGTCCAGTGCTGGAGACATCATAATGCTGGTCTCACCGCACCAGCAGCTGTAGGCCCAGTTGCATTGCCCCCCACTAGAAAAGATGGTTTCCACCCCTATGCCCCCATCAGGCCCTGTTTGGAGTGGACCTGCAGACCTTTTCTACCTCACCTTCTGTCACTCATCATGTTCTGATAACACTGGCCAGACTCTAAGATTTCCAGAAACTCCCAATCGTCTTCCTACCTCAGGACCTTTGCATCTGCTGTTTTCTCTGCCAGGACTTTTTAGGATTGAAAATATGAGGTCTCTCTCTGGTCCTCTTCCTAGCACTTTCCATGGTTTTGAATTGTCTTGTTTATTAATTGAACAATCTTTCTCCTCCCCACCCCCCACTAGTATTATCTCCATAAAAGCAGGTTCCCCTTCTGTTCACCTAGCCAGGGCACACTGTGGCTA